ACTCAGTGTTTGTGCTGCAAAACTCCTCTTACTATAAAACACAGACTTTTTTATGAAATGAACTCTTTGAAGGACATTTTTAACAAAGTGAAATCAGAAAAGATTTTAGAATTTTTATCATGTATTAACACAAAAAATCTTATTTAATTTATGTTTTATTTTGTTTGTTGATTTTTAAATTGAAAGATTCCTGCCATGAAAATAGCCTTGGTTGCTGACATGCCATTAAATAAAAAATACATCACATTACATATGCACATGTACATCCACAACTGTACAGATACTTAATCATATTCCTCCATGAGAAATCTACACCTGCACATATCCACAAATCCAGTCAAATATCTGCGTATGTACATTATATATAGAGCTTGTATACATATGCGTACAAATCAATACAGATAACAAAGAGAAGAGGAAAAAAAAATATAAAAAAAGGAAAAGAGATTTAAAAAAAATTGGATAATTGAATACCTATACATACCTAATTTTATTTATTTATTTATTTGTTTATTTGGCAATGACAGTGTACATTAATTAGCATTTCTGCCAATGCACCAGAATTAGCCCGAAGGCTATTTTTCATCTGCTGTCCCTGAACAACCTAGAAAAAAACAATACAAAAATTATACAATCAATCAAACATATTTAAAAAGTACTAAAATAGACATGGTCATATAGATGTTAAAAGAGAATATTTACAAATTAAAGGGCACCTATGGTAAAAAAATCTACTTTTCAAGCTGTTTGGACAGATCTGTGTGTTGGTATAGTGTATAGACCATAGTCATACTGGGGTGATATGAACACACCCAGTCCTTTTTTTTCAATTTAACTACAAAAAAAGGGTCGGCCAATTGGAGCTGTTTTCAAATCGATCGCACCATTAAGTAGGTGTGCGATCCCTCCGCCCACCGAATTGATTGACAGCTGCGCGCATTAACATGTTCCGGTAGTCACCTGTATGTCAACAAGACCAGGCAGACATACGCAAAGCAACCGGGAATAAAAGCTCTGTTCTGTTCGCTAGGATCAGCAATCATCATCAAATGTGATTAAGAGTAAGTTTCACATGTCTAAAGTGTTTTAAAACAGAGTATGTGTGTAATTAATTACAGCGTTTTACTTCAGCTTTACTTCATCAGCACAGCCGCGTGTCAGAACAATTATAAAAGAAGACGCTTCAATCCCGGTTTGTGGAAGTTAAATCAGGTTTATTTTGTACATTAGCATAACAGATATCCACACAGTACTTGAGGTTAGCCTTAACTAAGCTCAGCGCGCTCTGTCTGCCTGCCTGCCTGCCTGCCTGTGTGTGTGTGTGTCATCTGCGGTGTGCGTGTGTATCTGTGTGTGTGTGTGTGTTTACTTTGTAACGATATTGTGTGTGACTCATCAATGCAACTTCACAATACTGATTAGTAAAGGTTAGTTCTTACCGTAGTATCTCACAAACGCTACGTGAGATCTTCTTCCTTTAAGTCTGTCTGTTGTCTGACGCAGCTGAGGGAGGAGGCATGTAGAAGCAGTAGGCGGGAAAGACTCGTCTTAAAGGCGCAGTACGACAAAACCACCCCCTGCTGGAAATCAGTATAAAACAGCATCTTGTAAAAGGTATAATGAAAGATCTGATGGGTGTTTGGATCTGAAACTTTATATACACATTCTAGAGACGCAAAAGACTTATATTAAATCTGAAAAAAGGGGTAACCTAGGTGCCCTTTAAGCTAAAACACCAACATTTTGTAATAGAGATAAAAATAGTTGAAACACATTTAAACAACAGATCGTTAAGATGGTGGGCACAATTGGAAACATAATAGTTTCAATTTAATCAGAATGATGACAATTATTGAGAATTAGTATTTTGTTCACATTGCTATGATTCAGAATCTTCCCCCCCACTCAGTTTTCAATGGTCAGTCTGTAGACAATCAAAAATTGGCTTCCAAATTTTTTAAAATGTCTTTGGTTTACCTGCAATCTCATACCTAATCTTTTCCATGTGTACGCTTTAGGGGAATTTGTAAACAAAATTAGCCGTAGTGCATGAGTGTGTGTGTATGGGTGTTTCCCAGTACTGGGTTGTAGCTAAAAGGACAGCCGCTGCGTGAAACTTTTGCTGGAATAGTTGGTGGTTTGTTCTGCTGTGGCGACACCTGGTAACTAAGGGACTGAGCTGAAGGATGTGGGTGTTTTCCCAGGCACGTGATCGCTATGAGAAGGTTCTAGAGGACGTCTCTGGCTTTGCACCGAGATACATGGAGGAAATGGAGTCTGTGTTCGACCAATCGCAGGAGGAGGAAAGGAAGAGGATCAGCTTCCTGAAGCAGGCCTTCCTGTCCATTCACAGACACCTCGACATTACCAACAACGAGAGGTTTCAATCGCTCTGTTATGCTTTTAGCTAGGGCTGCACGATACTGGAAAAATCTAACATTGCAGTATTCTGGGATATATATATAGCAATATGAACTCAATTTCACTAGATCAGTTGCATAACTAATTGCAAACATTGATTGGGATGATTCTGTAGGGCAGGGGTTCCCAAACTTTTCAGCCCGCGACCCCCAAAATAACAATGCCAGTGACTCGCGACCCCCAATATCCTCTGAGGTGGTTATAAATACAGAAACCTTGCATGCAATGACGCAGACACACCAATTAAATTTGTGTCAGTGCTTTAAATGTGCCAGAAAGTATAACCTGATGTTATAAAATCAAAATGCATCTGACGCTATTGCTGCCTTTAATATAATGTAATTACCCCAGGGGTCGCAATCCAATAGAACTAGTAACTATAAGCTACTATAGTAACTATATAGTATATAGTAACTATAAACGACTATTTTTATTTTCAGTATAGTTATGGATAAAATATGTTAATTCTTATGGTTTAATAAAAATAAATAGATTTTTGGAAATCACCAGGCGACCCCCCTTCATTGCCCCTCGACCCCTTGGGGGTCCTGACCCCCACTTTGAGAACCACTGCTGTAGGGGAGTGCTAATGCATAAAATATAAGAAACAACCTACAAGCATGGATAAAATCAATAAAGAAAAAGATATAAATGAAATAAACAGCGTTTGATTGTTTTCTGAGGAGTTGAACTGGATTCAGATATCCAGTAATTGAACAATCAAATGGAAAATAAAACTGCATAGTCTTCTGTAATAAGGTTCACTTCTGTAATAAGCGCCACAGCACCCACGAGACCTATATGAGACGGGCCGAGAGAAAAGGAGAAGGAAAAAAAGGAGGAAAGACAGAGTAGACCGAGAAAGGGGAAAGAGGAAAAAAATAAATAAATAAAATTGGGGTTCGGTTCTCCAGACACGCTGCCACTCGGTCCTCCACCAGCTGAGAGATGCGACGACGTGCTGGGAGCTCTGTGGAGGAATCTATCCACCCGTCCGTATTCTGTTGTCCGGCGGCGGTTCTCCTGGCTGGCTGGCGGCATCTCTGGTCTCCTGCTCCGCTCCCGATTCTGTGGATGGATGCAGGCTCTGGCATCATGGCGGATCGTGGCGACTCCCCCGGGTTCTGTGGGATGGCTCCCTTCAGCGCTTTCCCTTCCGGTGGTGAGCCCCGCGTCCCCTGCTCCTCCCCATGCTGGGAGACGGCAGCAGGCAGATCCTTTCCTCGCCAGCCTCAGGCCGCCCCGGCACTCTGGGCAGACGAACGGGTTTCTCGCCCACTCGGGTTAACTCTCAAACACTCGCCCCCTCTCTCATCGGCGAGGGCATCTGGACAACGCGTCCCTCCTTCTCCCGGGCTTCGGCACCACTGTAATAAGGTTCCCGGCCCTTTGGCCGCCGGGAAGGAGGAGGCGGAGAACCGACGCAGTTTTAAAATGATTTTCTCACGGAGACTGCCGTCAAACTGAAAGCAAAAGTAAAATATGTCCGGGCCCGGTCCTCTCTCGGCTTCCTCTGCCATCGTTCCTCCTTTTATAGTCCAGAGCTCCTTCCGTGGGATTCGAGGCAGGTGCGCACCGCAGGTGTATCCACTTACGCGGTGGCCTCACTCCGTTCCCACGGCTCTCGGCCATGCCCCCTTGCCACATCTTCGTTTTTATAAACAATTAAATAAATTTTATAATTTTTTTAGTTTGTCAGAGTTACAAACGGTTCAGTTTCTTAAGTCTGAATGCTTTTAAAACCCTCACACTGTCACAGGCCTCAAAAAACACCTGCGAAATGAACATACAACATCACAATATGACTATTCCGAATGATCTCGTTGCGATATCGATGATGAAACGATATATTGTGCAGCCCTACTTTCAGCTTTCTGAAGTGGGTAATATTACTGTTTGAGCATAAACAAGTCACTCTACAACAATAAGCACAGTTTCTAAACAAACTCAGTCATCTCCAGTGTTGTCCTGAGTTTTTTTAAAGACACCTATGGTGAAAAATCTACTTTTAAAGCTGTTTGGACAGACGTGTGTAGGTTTAGTGTATAGACCGTCATATTGGGATGATATAAACACACACAGTCCTTTTTTTTAAATTTAACAACATAAAAACGGTGGCGCAATTGGAGCGGTTTTTAGACCGACCGCAACTTGGCGTAGGAGAGCGGTCTACCTGCCCACCAATATTGATTGACAGGCGGGCATTAACATGTCTCTGTAGTAAGGCATATAGGGCTCTATTTTGACGGTCCATGCGCAGAGAGCAAAACGCAGGGCGCAAACGCTTTCAGGGCGTGTCAGAACGCATTTTTGCTAATTTACGGATGGGAAAACCTGCTTTGCGCCAAGGCGCATGGGCTAAAAGGCTTGAGTTTATTTTCTTAATGAGTTGTAGGTGTGTTTTGAGAATAAACCAATTAGAGTCTCATCTCTTATTCCCTTTAAGAGCCAACTGCGGTGCGCCAAGAGCGCATTCGCTATTTACAGGACGCAAAGTAAGTCTAGGTGGAAAAATTTAGCATTTCACAAGCAAACAGTTCACAGTTAACAGTTTTTTAACAGAAAACTGTTAAACAGAGCATCTACTGCTCAAGAATGAGAGATAATGGATCACTTTCACTTTCACTCTTGGATAGGGAAACCTTTACGCACAGACATCAATTAGCCTATAAATAATTCATTTCGTTTGTTAAGCACAAAGATTTGTTTCAAAACTATTTCTAAATTCAGTTCTAATTTCCAGCAAACGAATAAATGAATAATAATGACCAAGTGTGGTCAAAATACTGAGTTATTTCCAAATACACCTGCCATGCCCCATATGGTCTAAAACCTGCAGGTGGACAAATCTAAGCTTGTTTTTAATCAAACAAATATAAATATGGATATATTAAATAATACTGCTAATAATAATAACATTATACAAAAGCAAATTGTTATGAATGAACTGAAAAAGCCTCCCGAGATGAAGAAGACATAAAAGCAGTGATTTTTCATATTTATGTAGGCTAGAAAATAATATGTTTTGTAATATTTTATCCTTTATATTAATATCCTATATCTATTCTTATTATATCCTATATATATCCTTAATATTTACATTTTTTCATATGTTAAGATATTTGCCTATTGCTCTCTTGTGTGTATTAAGCAGTGCGTAAGCGAGGCGCAACTCTGCGCTGGAGTTTAGACCGGGTTAGTTTTGGTCTAATGAAAATCTATTATAGTTTCTCAAAATAGCAACGCGCCAGCGGTCCGCCTCAGAACGCCTTCCTTTTTAGACCAGAACGCCTATGGGCGCACAAATGAGCGCTAATGCATTTGCTATTTAAACAGCGCAGCGCAACGCCTCAAAACAACTCTTGCGCCAAGCTGAAACTACCAAAAGACTACTGCACTGCGTCTTGCTCCACACTGCGCCGTGTGTATGATAGGGCCCCTAATCATATCAACAAGACAGGACGATCACAAAGCAACCGGGAATAAAAGTGTTATAAAGGTCTGTTCAGTTTGCTAGGATCATCAATCATCTTTAAACGTGATCAAGAGTGAGTTCATGAATCCTGAATCCAGCAATCGATTTCTGATCCGTGTCAAAACAATTGGTCTCAGACCACCTCATTCCACGCTAGACTGAAACAAACTCTGGAGCAGATTGATTGTATGGAAAAAGCAATACGATCCAACGATTTTAACCCCTGTTTTAGAATAAAACAATAGATCTACATGTATGAAAGCACCATAAAAAACTTTAATATTAACTATAATCAAGCTACCTCTAAATAAATAGTGATGCTTTACTTTTTCAGTTCACAATAAATATTTAATTGCAGTAATTAGTTACAAACTTCATTGATGTACATTACTTTCATGTCTCATTTCAAAATGGTTTCGAATACGAGTGTAAATGTAAAGAAAGTCATGCTATAAGCACTGAAGAGGGATGCTTGCTGTGGTGTCAGAAAGTGTGTTTTATGTGTGTGTTTCAGTATAAAGGCAGTCTACAGTGAGCTCCATCACACACTCATGTCCATCTCTGAAGCTGAAGATCTCCGCTGGTGGAAGAACAACCATGGGCCCGGGATGCCTACCGACTGGCCTAAAATAGAGGTGTGTGTGCCTTGAATTTCTAATCTTATAGCACTAACAGCACATTTTGACATTGTGGATACATATTTTTGCTCCCCATGAGGATAAATCACACAGAACTCATTATTTTTCTAAATGTAAAACTGCAAGGGGTGGCATGGTGGCTCAGTGGTTAGCACTGTGGCTTTACAGCAAGAATGGCACTTGTTCGAGTCTCAACTGGGTCAGTTGGCATTTCTGTGTGGAGTTTGCATGTTCTCCTTGCGTTGGCGTGGGTTTCTTCCAGGTTTTCCGGTTCCCCCCACAGTCCAAACACATGCGCTATAGGGGAATTGAATAAACTCAATTGGCCGTAGTGTATAAGTGGGTGTGTGAATGAGAGGGTATGGGTGTTTCCCAGAACTAAGTTGCAGCTGGAAGGGCATCCGCTGCGTAAAACATGCTGGAATAGTTGGCGGTTCATTCTGCTGTGGCGATCTCTGAACTAGAGACTAAGCCAAGAAAAATTAATGCAAAACTGCAGATTGTTTGCTCTGAGAGTTTGGTTAAGGGGAAGGGTTGATAGAGGGGAGAGAATATACAGTCTGTACAGTATGAACATCACAATGTCTATGAGATGTCCCCATAAAGACTGATTCTGGCTTATTATTTTATTAGTTATTAGTTGAAAAATAGTGTTTTGTCTTCTGAAATCTTTTGTGTGTGTGCGAAACCTGTATACATAAAGGCTCTAGCCATTGCAATCCCTTAAGTTTTTTATATTATCAGTTTTTATCAAGGTTTTTTCCTTGACTGGTCCTCTTCTTCACTTCAACTTTTACAACTGCATTATTTGACTGTCCACAGCAGTGTTCAGACCAACAGTAAAGTGGGGTAAAGGGCAGTGTGAAAAGCCACGTGTTTAATATCTGTTACACATTAAATGCAATAGAACAAAGTCATTTATAAAATAGCTTTAAAAATTATTTTTTACTTGATTTAGATTATAAT